CCCCCTTTAGCGCGCACTTTAGCCAACTTCGAGCATCGGAAACAACCCCATGGCTCAGAAGAGGCCATTTGGATATGGGCACCATATAATGCGCCGTCAATCGCGGATACTCGCGTAGAGCTGCATGGTAAATTGGTATGTGTAGGTCCTGCGTCCGCGCGATCTTATACTAAATCCGCAGGTGCAACACTTATCGATTCTCACACTAAAGTTATGGGTCGGGCGGCGAGAAGCAGGGCGCGTTATGACTAATAGATTCGGGTTTTTCTGTATCGCGAAGCGACGCATGAGCGAACTACCAGTCTCAGTCGACCTGTGGGAGTCCGTGTACCGGTCTTCATTATCCCGGACATCGGGTAGCCTATGGGTTTGATTTTCAGGTCTCCTCCGTGCGCGCGTCGTTTGCGTCCGCTTGCCCCCTTTATTTTAGGAGGCCACCAAACCGTACGAGTTGGGATAAGTTCCTCTTTCGAATTTTCATCGTTGGACGTTGTGGTCCGTGGTAGCCGTCAAAGTCAAACCCCTTGATATTTGAGTGCCACGACAGCATAAAGCTGTCTACTCAACCCCTCCGCACAGGGTGCAGAAGAGGGTGTGGTCTTCAACCGCACATGGCGGTTGTCTGGCGTCGAGAGATTACCCCTCAAAGCGCCTCTCAGCCGACACTCGAGTGTCGAACGCGACCCTCGAGATTACCAAGGGCCGCGGGGTTATGAGTACCACATAGTACCCCATCAGCGCGAGTGTTTGCGTATGCCTGCATGGCTGGTTTATATGAGGAGGCCATGCGCTCGCTCAACACTTGTAAGGAAATCCAGCGCGCAATGCCTATCTGAGTTTCGCAGCATAAAGTTATGGGTCGGATACTGAAGGGACTAGGAGTATTGTGGTGTTGTGGCATCGTGTGTTGTTTTGTGTATCTCCGTGTGTTATGTGTGGGTAGATGTGCGTGTTGCGATGTACGCGTAGTGTGCGTGATGCGCCCTAGTCGACCGGCGCCGAGTCGCGTTTGGGACCTCGGCCCCCCAGAACGTCAATTCGCGTACGGGTTCGAATTTCGGGCGTTCGACCGTGCGTAACCCCCTATGCTACAGCGAACGAGAAACGCCCTTGGCTGGGCCACCTCTGCAATTGCATACGAAAAGCTTTCGCATGTGGTTCAGTAGCTCGGCAGGGATACGCCCACCTAAGGGATGGTGACAACTCACGCAGGTGGAGGTAAGCGGTGCCTCGCGTGACCCTGTCCTGCCGTAGGCACTCACGAGAGGTACGGTTGGCGCACTCGGTCGGAGCGGCAAACGCTCTCCGCGACAAGTTCTGCCAAATCCTGCGTGACGCGGCCGGGAGGGTCCCCGTGCGGGACCGATGCGCTCGACATTGCATCTACGATGGACAAAATGTTACTAAAATCATTTTCAGCTAGTTCGGGGCCCATCTCGAGGTATAAGCAGTAGATCATATGAGGGGTGGAGAAGTCGTATCCTCTATTAGGTACTCTCAGTGCGGCTTCAGCGGCCAACTCTACTCTTGCTTGACGATTAAACGCCTCATTAATAATAAAATCAGGGAGTGTGGTTTTAATGTAGCGGATCGGAAGAACAAAGTCTTCGGCTGAACGCATTTTCACTTCCTTTCTAACTTCTTTTGCTTCTTGCCATCGAACCTCTCGGCTCTAGACGTTGAGTGTCGCTTCTGCCATCCCTGTAAGTTGTAGTAGATATTATTCCTCTTCTTGACTGAGATCCATTTCATGGCCATGCCAGAGACGGGTAGAAAGGTAGAGGATGACTCTCACACTATGGCATTCTTCTATCGTATCCCAACTCGTCTCTACCCACATAAATGCCTCATTTCCCAACGAGTTGCCCCACTATGACTCGCAAAGTTTCGCTTTGCCTCTCCCCTTTAACAGCGTCATTTATAGCCCATCACTGTTCCTAACTGGTGCCTCGACCCTGGAAACCTGCTCTGCGTAAGGCATCTTGATCGAATTCGGGCGACCTCTTTAGTGACCTGTTTATACAAAAGGCAGACAGGAACAACCATTTAATGTACCGAATTCTGGTATCCCTACTCAGGAGTAATCTGACTCACGCTAATATCAGTCATTAATAATAAAAAAAATTATCAATACTATATTTTCTCCTGTATTCTTAGGTATATCTCCCGACTCTTTAGTTCATCGCTGATATTTTTGCTTATTTGACTGATAAGTCTAGTATGAGTTAGGCAAGGGCTATGAAGGTCCGAATAGCGCGTTATCACTTCTCATCAGTTTGGATTCCTTTTCCTTCACCATCTCCGATGGATATCTTCAAATATAGTCCTTAATAAGAACGGGGGAAAGTTTTGGCTTTATCTTGATCTATTCCACCCCTTTCGAAGCATTCCTCAAATAATCTCTTTGTATAGTAGGTATGAAATTAACCCGCATAACTCTACCTGGCATAGGAAGAATAATGCTAAGGTGATGCATAACCTATGATTTGTTGGCGCGTTCTGAGATACCACGGGTGGATTAGGTACATTCGGCGGCGGGGGCGGAAGAGCAGGCCGAGACGGTTGGGGAAGAACAATCGACCGTTGAAGTTATCGTGCCATAGAAGAAAAGGGCGAAGGAAAAGTACGGGAGAGTGGCTCAAAGCGTGGCGGGGGGAGCCGTAACGTTGTTCGTACTTATAAGAGTAGTATGCCATCTTTCCAGGAGATGGCGTTCGCTTGCGTAGATCTTCCTGATGTCGCCTCAATCTCATTCTCTCTCACTTTTCCTCTTCCTCATTTTCTTCCTCTCGCTCTTCTCTTTCCCTTGTTAAATCAATAAGTCTCTCTGCGGCCTTTCCCTACCGACCACCTCTCCCTCTTCTAGTTTCTGCCCCCATACGGCATCAGTGGAGGGATGAGACACCTAAAGTAGTGTCGAGTTTTTTTATACTTATATCGCAGTTTTTTACAAAAGAATGAAGGCTTCAGACATATACACGGTTGTTGTCGGGTCGGAAAGCGTTACAATTAGAAGAGAATACTGTAAAAAAAAAACATTTCCCATACAAATTCAACGAGTCTGGCGAAATCCTATAATGTTGATGGATTCTTCTGCTATTCCTACCAACTTGTTCTTAAAAGTTTCCACAATCCTTGGTCGCTACCGTATATGTCACCTTAATCAGATACAGGAGTAATTATTGCTTCGGGAAAATGATAAAAGGCGGACTAACCGGCTATATACGTACAACTTGTACTTGTCCTATCTCATGAAAACAACCCTTGACAAATGCTCATATCAATAGATCGACAATTAACCTCAGTAGTCCTCTTACCCTCTAAATAAAAATCGTATACTATCCTATCTTCTATTTTGTCGTTTTGCTAGGGCTTCAATTTAACAAGACCCAAATCCGTTCACATAGGACCCCGGCAGGCAACCGAAGATCCCCGGCAACGGCGCCACGTGTCGCACATGGCGGTCCCTCGTCTGGATGGGGAGCGTTGAACCTCACGGTCGTGTCACGCAGGATGTTTCAATTGAAAATAATTAGTCACCATTCCGACCGTGCGAGCGTGCTATACCTCTCACGACGCCCTGCGACAGGTCGGGACGTCGCGAGGTACAACTTACCTCTATCTAGGGGTTGTCACCACCCTTAGGTAGGCGTATCCCTGCTGAGCCACCGGCCCACATGCGAAGGCTTTTACATGCCTTTTGTAGAGGTAGGTCGGTCGAGGGCGTTTTCTTGATCGATGTAGCATAACACGAGGTACACGTGGTAAGACGTCTATGACTGACCCGTAAGTCAAGTCAGGTTCACGATGTGATTTCCCTATCCTGGACTTTTGTATATTCATGTCGAACTCTTAGAAGGCCGTCTATTTCCGCTTCTACTGCCAAAACATATTATTCTTCTAACCACTACGATAGAAGTATCAATCAAACCATTTTACTACCTATGACATTTTATTCTACTTAACATACGACTGAGCATTAGATAGTATAGAAGTTATATAGGACTGATAATGAATATGGAGGTATTACCGCTGGGAACCCTTCCCACTCTCACAATTGTTGTGTGTCCAAAACTCTTCACGAGGTCAATCCCAGTTCAATCCAAACCATGCACAAGGTAGACCTGCACAGAATAATGCAAAGACAGTTCACATGTCATCCACTAACAACGTCAACCATCAACCATTGGCATTGTCCCTCACTCCCCAAACCATGTATGACAGCTCTATCTTTCCTGAGACATAAGCCCAACCCCCTCTCATTTCTTCAAAAGACCCTTGAGAGTGACCAGGACCATTTAGGCAATGACCAGAGATGACAGTTTTACTGACCACAAGGTTTGGCTTTAGACGTGGGTATTAAGTCAAGGGGGAAAAGTTGAATCGACAACGACCGACCTGTTATCGAGAGATAACAGAAAAGTTGAGTCCTCTTTGTAAGACTTCTCCTTCAATTGCGGTAGATCAAAACAGGGACCTGCACACACACAAGTAAACAAAAATATTCAACTCCCCCACTCGATTTCCCACATGTAGATATCTAAGGGTCAAGCCCTTAGATCTGGTCTGTGAGCTTTGGGATCAACATCCCAAAGTCTAACCCCTAGTTTTTACCTACCCTAAGTCGTCAGTCACCCTTTCCTCTTTTTGTTCAAGGAGTCTCTTACCTATATCCTAAGTTGTCTTCGGGAACTCATATTTCCCCTACTCTTAGTCCTTGCATTTTCTCTCTGGCGGATAAGCACACCCTTTGCTGCTTACGCGGTAGTCTAGCTGAGATAAATTCATGTCATTGACAGATTTTCCCATAAGAGTTTATCAACGAACGGATGGAATGGAAATTAGCGGTGATGAGGGAGAAGAAGAGGAGAATTGACAAGGCAATGGAGGCGGCAGAAGCCTCAGAAGAAGTGAAGGAGATAGAGGCGCAATTAGCCGCCCAACCCGATCTCCCGAGTCAGATGTGAGTCATAGCTCGGAGCGTCGCATGCCTGGCACAGGTTCAGGCAGACCAATATGACTTTAGCAGAAGTCAGAACATAGCTGTGCGCTCGATACGGTTGGGCTTTCGAGACTTTGCTCGTGAGCTGGTAGGCGCCGTTGGAGCCGAGGTGGGTCACCGCCTCGACAAGACTGAGCCGTTCTGCACTGGCGCCATTGAAGGCGTCAAGGCGGCAGCTCCCAAGGAGAAGGAAGCACGTCCTCCTCGCCGAGAGCCTGTCAAAGTCAAGTTCCCCGATTCCTACAGTGGGAAGAGGGAGGAAAACTTTGACAATTGGGAGGCCAACGTTAAGACCTATGTGCACTTGCAACAGGTCTCCCCAGATCAGCAAGTCCAAATTGCTATCCACACGCTGAGAGATGAGGCCGCCAGTTTTGCAAGGTCCCTAGTTCGTGCTGCCAACTGTAGTGATGATCCCGTTGCGTACTCCTCATTTACGTCCCTCACCGAATTCCTGAAGTTGCTGCGCGAGCGATTTGCAGATGTCGCTCGCAGTGTCAAGGCCTCAGATAAGCTCCAAACCATCCATTCTCGTAAATGGAAGAGTGTCAGGGCACTCAAGGGTACAATGGATGAGTTGGTGGCYGTCCCTGACCATGGGGTCACAGAGGGCCAGTTGGTCAACCTCTTTTACCGGGCTATGCCCGAAGCCTTTCGGGGGCAGTTCTTCGCGAAGAGCGAAGACCCTGCCACCACTTACGATTCCCTTAGTCGTGAGATGGTGGCTTTTGAAGCGAAGTCAGTGTCCCTGTCCACCTTTTGGCATAAGGATTTGGACAAGGGAAAGCAATTGAAAGGCCGCACTATCTCAGGGCAGGTAAAGACCAAGGATAACCTTGTCCTGACTTTAGATGAGGGTAGTGTGGATGAGATACCCTACGATCAGATTGAGTCGGGGCTAGAGGAGGCGGACAGCGGTGTGGGCCAGGGGAGATCCTACGCTGCTGTCGCGGCTGGAGGGAGGCCGCAAGGAGGAAGAGGCCAGGGCCAAGGGGGCCAGGCCTCAGGGAGCCGGTTTCAGGGCGATTAGGGGGTTGGCGGCAGAGGAGGAAACCGCCAAGCGGGAGGAAGGGGTCAAGGTCCCCCGCAAAACYGTCCTAGGAAYAGGTCTCCCTATAGAGTAGGAGGATGGCACCCAGGGCTACCGCAGGGTAGGCCTTGGGAATCTTTGGGTCTGGACCAGRCTTTATGGCAACAACGATTGGACCGGGGCCAGTGCATCTTCTGCGGTGACCCGGGCCATATCATCAAATACTGTTTTAAGTATAGAGATACCTGAACGGCTGCCCAAGGGCCAAAAGGCAGCCGCCAGTAGGGGTAGCAACTGCCCCTACCACTAGGCCATGTGGGGAAAATAGCGCTAGCCGGCAGGAGACTCGCACACCACATGTGCCTACGGCAGAGGTTGCAGGCCGGTGTCTAGACAGCTGTCTTGAAACTGCTTGTGTTAGAGTTTTGCTAGACACCTCCCTCACAGGCGTGGCCGAAGAGTTGAAGGAGAGGATGCCCGCCTGGGCCAAGATGAAGAAGGAGAACAAAGGGCAGTTTATATTACTAGATACAGAGATTTTTAGAAGTAGAGTACGGGCCCTAGTAGACTCAAGGGCCACTCGCAGCTATATTAGTAGGAAAGCGCTGCAGAAGTTGAGGCTGGGACTTAAAGTCCAGAAACTGACAGACCCCATAGTTAGTATCCTCGCGGACAATCGTACTATGATTGTAGAGGATTACGTAGAGGGAGTCCAGGCGTATTTCCGCCTAGAGAAAGATGGGAAAGTGGAGAAGGTCCTCCACTCCCTGACTCTCCTCGTTGAGGACAGCCTCCCATTTGACATTGTCCTGGGAATGGATTGGGGAGAGGCAGTCGGGGCCACGCTCCATTTGAAGGAGCATGAGTGTAGGCTCCCTAGTTCGTCAGGCGAGGCCAAGACTGCCCGCCTGTTCCATGTGTCAGGGGTAGAGAATTCCTTGGCGCACTGCTGCCTTAGTGCCCCCGCGTTCGCCAGACTAGTGAAGAAGGAGGGATTGGAGGAACAGGTCTTTGTTGCCTATGTTAGGCCAGTGACTGAGCCTACGGAGGAGAAGCCGATGGACCCCGCGATTGCCAAGCTGCTGGAAGAGTTTAAGGATTTGACTAAGCCGCCGACAGGCACGGTGTCGCGGCCCATCCAGCACCGTATTGAGATAGAGCCTGGCAGTATAACTCCTAAGGGTGCGGTGTATAGGATGTCCCCGCGGGAGTTAGAGGAGCTGCGGAAACAGTTGGACGAGCTCCTTGAAAAGGGTTGGATTAGGCCCAGTTCGTCTCCTTTTGGAGCCCCTGTTCTCTTTGTACCTAAGAAAGAGGGAGAGCTAAGGATGTGTATAGACTATAGGGGTCTGAATGTCATTACAGTGAAGAATGCTGAGCCACTGCCTAGGATAGACGATCTCTTAGATCGAGTGCAGGGGGCGAAGTATTTCTCCAAGATAGATTTGAAGTCCGGATATCATCAGATAGAGGTACATCCTGATGATCAGTAGAAGACGGCCTTCCGGACTAGATATGGGCACTACGAGTTCATAGTGATGCCCTTTGGACTAACCAATGCGCCAGCTACGTTCCAACGCTGTATGAACGATTTGTTTAGGTCGTGGTTAGACAGGTTTGTTGTAGTTTATCTAGATGACATTCTAGTGTTTAGCAGGACCCTCGAAGAGCATCAGGGGCATCTCAGGCAGGTCTTGGAGAAGTTGAGGGAAGCTAACTTCAAGATCAATGCAAAGAAGTGCGATTGGGCAAAGACCCAAGTTTTGTACCTAGGCCACGTCTTAGACGGAGACGACGTTAAGCCAGAAGATAGCAAGATCGCAACGATTAGAGATTGGCCCACACCACGTACGCTGACAGAGTTGCGCTCGTTCCTGGGCCTAGCTAACTACTATAGGAAGTTCGTGAGGAACTTCTCCACCATCGYTGYGCCCCTTCGCAGATTGCTGAGAAAAGAGACAATCTGGAAGTGGGACAAGGACTGCACGTCTGCCATGAAGAAGCTAAAGCAGGCATTGATAGAGTATCCGGTCCTTAAGTTCGTCGATCCGTCCTTGCCTTTTGTCGTTACTACGGATGCTAGCCACTACGGCATAGGCGCAGTGTTACAGCAAGACGATGGCGATGGCTATAGACCCATAGAGTTCATGTCCGCCAGGATGCCTTCAGAGAAGGTCGCGACATCTACCTATGAAAGGGAACTATATGCTCTCAGGCAAGCCTTAGACCACTGGAAGCACTACTTGCTTGGGAGACACTTCAAAGTCTATTCTGACCATGAGCCATTACGATGGTTAAAGACGCAAGCCAAGATGACACCTAAGCTTACTAGGTGGGCCGCAGAGATAGATCAGTATGACTTTGAACTCAAGCCTGTCAAAGGGAAGTACAACGTAGTCGCGGATGCTCTGAGTAGGAGAGCGGATTACTTTGGGGCAATAGTACATTACCTCGATATAGGGAAGGACCTGCAGCAGAGGGTTAGAGAAGCTTACGCGCAGGACCCTATCTATAGTGAGCTCCTTAAGAAAGTCAAGGAGGCCCCAGAGACTGAACCGAATTACCGCACTACCGAAGGGTTGCTTTTTTAGAAGACTAATGTGTCTGACCGCCTGTGCATCCCCAATAGCGAAGAGATTCGTAGTCTGATTCTGGGCGAATGCCATGACACAGAGGGTCACTTTGGTTGGCAAAAGACTTTAGCCAATCTTATGCGTGCGTATACCTGACCAGGGATGAAGAATGACTGTGTAGAGTATGTTCGCAGTTGCGAAGTCTGCCAGCGTAATAAGAGTTCTACCCGCGCCCCGCTAGGTCTTCTCAGACCCTTGCCCATTCCGGATCAGCCGGGAGACTCAGTATCAATAGATTTCATGGACACTCAAGTCAAGAGCAGGCATGGCAAGAGCCAAGTCATGTTCTTAGTTGACCGCTTTAGCAAGTACGCAGTTTTTGTTCCTTTGCCTTCAGAGGCGCGTACTGACTTAGTCATACAAAGGTTCTTTGACTGTTGGGTTAGTGAGAACGGAATCCCGTTGTCAATAGTTAGTGATAGAGATAGTCGTTTCACCATCCAGAACTGGCAAGAACTCATGGGAGTGTATGGATCCAAGTTGTTGATGTCGTCCGACCGTCATCCAGAGACTAACGGTCAGACGGAGCAAATGAACAAGATCCTACAACAAGTTCTGCGCATGTATATTAGGCCGGATCAGATTAACTGGAATGAGATGTTGCCCAAAGTAGCTAGTGCGTACAATAATAGCGTGCATCTGTCTACATGTTGCAGTCCCAACGAACTGCACAAGTCATTTAGACCGCGCAGACCGTTTGAGGGACTCAACCGGGATCAGATTCACAGATTGCCGCCCGGGACCTGGGAGTTTGCCTCAAAAGGGCAAAGTCGTAGCTGCTACAGTACCGAAAGGCCTTGCCTGAAAGGGCAAAGTCGGTGCGCCTCTGATCTCGCCTGCTTCCTGGAACTCAACCGGGATCAGATTCACAAGTCTAGACACTTCCGAAGTCGTAGCTGTAGGATGCCTGAAGAGTCAAGGTCGTAGCTGCTACTTACCTGAAAGGGCAAAGTCGTAGCTGCTACAGTACCGAAAGGCCAAGTTCGAGACTTCTAGAAGTGGCCTTTCGGAGTTGGCCTGTGTTCAGCAGAGGCAAGTGGTCAAGTGGTGGTACCTGTTCAGCAAGTACCATCTGGGACTGTGTGCACATCGTGGGCCAAGGGATACAGGGCAGACCAACGCAGCGCAAAAGTATAAATCAAGAGGTTGCGTCCAGCCATTCATTCATTCCTGCAGATGCCATGCGGAAGCGCTGCCCCAGCAGCTTGTGCGAGGAGGTCTGCAGTGCGCCCGAAGACGAAGAGGGCAGTGAAGTGTAGTGTAGCGATAGGATAGTGGCAGCCATAGCTGCCATAGCTCTAGTAGCGTGTGTGTGTGTGTGTGTCGCGTGTAGAGTGTTGCGTGTGGGACATCCAGGGTGATCCAGAGTGCGAACAGTGAGTTGTGTGGGCGCTCAGTCGCCATAGCCAGTTGAAGAGAACTCCTACCTGGATACGATATCTTCAGTAATGTGTGGGCGCATGTCGCCAGTTTGCTATTTCGCTGTTTGCATGCATGACAAGTGTGAAGAAGTCGAGTCTGATTGCATTATAATTATTATTATTATTATTATCATTATTATTATTATTATTATTATTATGAACCCGAACCTGGAAGATACTCGTCAAACGATGTAGTATAAGTTGACTCAGATCTGCACGATGTCTCCGGTAGTAGTGAAAGTGATGCCTGATACGACATCTCGTTACCTATAGCCGGATGGTTACGGTTGCTGTCAGCCACTACAGCTATGGCGGCTATGACCACTGTCATCACTATCACCTTCAAGCCACTTCTCTCCCGGGCATCCGCAGACCACCTCGCACACGTCGTTGTGGCAGCGCTTCCGCATGGCTCACGCAACAATGAATGAAAGGCTGGGCGCTGCCTCTTGATTTATACTTCTGGCCTGCTGCCTTTTCACCGGGCCCCTGGTACACGCAGTCTCGTATAGTACTTGCGGATTGGACTAAGTGAAACAGGGACTAAGTATCGATGACTTAGTATGGGGGGACCTTACCACCTGCCCATTTTTCTCTGGCTAGCCGTAAGTAACGTTTGAAGGGCCACTTCCAGATCTTTGTGAAGTCGTGGAGTAGCCCCTTTGACACTGCCGCATCTACAACCTCGATCTTTTTGGGGCTGTAACAACTACGACCCGCTACAGGCTTGACTCCTACGCTAAACAGACAAACGAAATAGACTGACAAATAGGCAGACAAACGGAGACAGGCAAACAAACTCACAGACAAAGTAACACAGTCACAGTGACACGCACAAATAACAAACATGCACAGATGCTGCGACACACAGTCACAACAAACATACGTAGATAACAGGCACACACAGACAACAAACATACAGGGACAAAGTGACACACACATACACAAGTGATACAGAAACACAAATGATGTTGACACGCGAGGATACAGACACAGGGGTACAGATACACAACGA